ATCGGCCTAAAATCATTCGGTCAATTTTTTACCAGATGTCCCAAAATTTATGAGAACAGCTGTAATAACCGGGTGGGTTTTAAAAAAAAATTTTTATACAAATTTTATAAAATTTTATATATGAAATTTTTAAAAAAAAGCCGGTCGGCCGGGTCTATTTAAAAGTTTCATGTTTATGAAAACCAAGTAATTAAATTTGTATGGCCTAATTGTTTTTTTTTTTTTTTTTTTTTTATAGCACAAAGTTAGTGTTTGTCTTGCAAATAACAGCAAGAATTCCAACAGATATCTTTTAGTTTTGGTTTAAGTAAAATCAAATTTTTTAAAGCTTTTCGAAGCCAATAAATAAAACATTAAAAATATTAAAAATTTCTAATTTTTTATAAATCTTAAAATATAAAAATAAATAATAAAAAATAAAAATAATTACCATTATTCATTGACATAGATTCAGCATTATCAAGATCTTCTGATTCAAAACTTATTTTTTCATTATTTAATTCGTCCTCTTTCGATTCATTCACCTCCAATTAATCCTCTCCATCTCCGATTCATCCACCCCCAATTCCTCATTTTCTAGAATTCTCCGTTATTCCTGTATTCCACCCATTTTATTATTAATAAAAGGATCATTTTTATATACATGTATTTACAACATTCCTACTCTACTATTAATTATTACAATAAAATGTAATCATGTAATCTTTCCACCGCAAGATTATGATATAACCATTGATATTAATAAAAATTGGCGTGACAACTATGACGAAATTATTGACTGAATTTCTAAAAAAAAAAAAGTTTCATGCTTTTTACTATAAATTTTAATATTATGAGACGAGTTTTTATCACATTATTTGCACGAGATATGTGAAATATATACAAGTTAATCTTGTGCGAGATATATCTCTAATTCTGAACTTTTTAGCTCATTAAAGTTCGAAACATAGAAGATGTACCCTACAAATTTTATTTAGTCAATTATTTCTGGTAATATAATAGTCACCATACAAGATTTTTGCACTCTTCAGTAGCATACTTCCTTTTTTAATCCCTTCATCCTTCCCAAAATCATCTCTATTCTCTACATCTTCATTTCTCAATCCGCTTTCAATTTCTGTAGTCCAAAAACTTCTTAATGGCTCTATATTAGAAACATCAACACCTTGTACATGTCTTACAAAATTGCACAAGATACTTATATCTTTATTTAATGCTGTTTGAGTATCAGAAGTTTCGTTATTTTTTAATTCTACATTTGATTTCTCGTTAAGTAAATTATTATCAATTGTCGATGAATTTGGAAGTTTTAATCTTGCCATTTTTAACAAGTTTAGAAATTCGTGTTGCGTTATTTTTACTTCTTGCTGTTCTTGAACATTGATGCTTGCTTTATCTTTTGCTGGTGGTAATAGTAATGATCTCACGGACCACGTTGGAGATTCGGGCTTTATGATTTTTAAAAAATTAATTAATATAAATAAACTTGAGATAATTTCGTAAAAAATATTTACCAAACAGTCTTCATCAATCTTCAATTCTAAGTTATTGTTAGATGAAACCGTTTTGCTTAAAAGACGAAAGACGAAACCCCTTGGTAAAATAGTAGAACCCCGTAGAAAGGCGGAACCGCTGGTGAAAGGCGAAACAAAACGAAACCCTGATAAAGACCGAGATATATTGAGTATTTTACAATGATGTGAGGTATGTATCATGGTTGTTATACACAATGGCCACTAGAGCCTGAAATCCTATATAAAGATAATAACTTTATTGTTAAAAAAAAAAAAAAAAAAAAACCAGATTTAGGGCTTTTAATTTATCTGATCTGATAACGTATAATACCCGATATGTAATAATCGTTATCAGATTTATCGTTATCGTTATACCGATTAGAGATGGGCAAAGTCAGTTACATATTACTTAATATTACATATTAAAGTAATTTTACAATAATTTTATTATTAGTAACAACTTTTCGTTCATCTTCACCCGTCTCCGACTTTTATCATGTGTTTATATGTACACGTAATGGATAATTGAATGTAATAATTATTTAATATTACTTAATATTAAGTAAGGGATAGGTCATTATTACTTACAAAATTGCTTTGCCCATCTCTAATACCGATACGTAAATTTAAAAGCCCGAATCCGGTTCGCCCAAAAATAAGTTACGTTCCGATATATATTATATTTGCGTGATTTTATATGCCTAGAAGCGACTTACTGTACAAAAAAAAAATTATTTTTGGGAAGAATTTTTTGAATTTAAAATACATATGTTCGAATAATCAATTATTTAATGCATATAGTTTAATTAAAATTACTAACAATAGTATACACTATAACTAGAGTAATCAATTAAAATAGTTTTTTTAAACTATTGTTTTTTAGTATATACTCTAATCAGAATTAGACAATTCTATCTGTAAAAAACCCTTAACTCTCTTTAATAAATCTAGACAAGGTGCTATGTACAATGCAAAAAATTCATCCACTTCTACTTCAAATCTAGATTTATCTTCCGACAGGCCATAACTCACCTAAATTCAACTAAGCAACGACTACTAGATTATCCTTTAAATGCTCCTGTCTGTCATACAGAGCGAGATGAAAAGAACACAAACAATTCTATCTGGAAAAGATTCTTAATTTTCTTCTAACAATTTAGACAAAGTACTATATAAGGGTATTCTGGCGCGGGAGGTAATGTGGCGCACTGAAGTATCTCGTAACACAATGACCCGAAACGAATGATTTTAACACCATTTAATTCGTCTTATCAAGACGAATCGAATGGTGTTAAAATCACTTTAATTGGAATTACTGACTACAAGATATGATAAAAAAAAAAATAAAAAACCACCGGGAAATTAACAAAATTGTATTCGGCACACCCATGCACCTTGACAATCTGGCCCAATTAAGTAATTTTTTTATCAACTTTATAATTTATGCAGTATGAAGATCTTAATATTTGTATAGTGCGCCACAATCCCCCCACCTAATAAAATTGCGGTTAAAAAATCGCTTTCAAAATAATCGTGATAAACAATTTTTTTAAGTAGTAATTCCCTTTTTTTTTAGTACGTAGCGGGATTGCCAAGCATTAAATTAGTTTGTTTTAAGAGTTTTAGAAATAAATATTAATTTTTAAAGTTATAATTTGCAGCGCAGCTTAGGTGCGCCAGAATACCCTACTCTACTTTACAATGCAAGAAAATTTCTTTGCGACCATCATTCTGAACCAAAATTATGACAATCATCCGACAGGCCATAATGCATCTAAAATCAATTAAGCAATAAGGGAAGTGTCATTTATCAGCTGATTTTTTGTAAATAGTAAAATTTCTCAAATGATTATGATTATATATAAACATATATACATGCGATCTATTGGCATGATATTTTGGTACCCACCCCCTACTAAAAAAATCAGATGATAAATGACACTTTCCTAACTATACTAGATTATCTCCTAAATGCTACCATCTGTGTGCTACAAAGAAAACCAGATAATGCAAGAAAATTTCTTTATAGCTGTCATCCCCCTACTTCAGAACCAAAATTTTGATTATTGTCCATAATTCATCTAAATCAACTAAGCAATAAACTATACTAGATTACTCCTAAATGCTACTGACTGTCATATTGGGTGAAATGAACAGAAATTAGACAATTCTATTCTGAAAAAGTCCTTCCCTCTCTTCTAACAATCTAGACAAGGTGCTATATATAATGCGAAAAAATTTCTTCGTAACAGGCCGCTCTTACTCCAGAACCAAAATTATAACTGTTGTTTGACAGGATATAACTCATCAAAAATCAACTAAGCAATTACTATACTAGATTATCCTCTGATTGCTGCTGTCTAGAAAAAAAGATGTTATGTACTGTACTATACACAATTTTTTCATCCCGATAGGCCACTTCAAAAATTATAAATGTCATCTGACAGGTCATAACTCATTTAAAAAATAAACTAAGCAATGATTGCGCTGTCAAATTAAAACATTTATGCAGACTGCCAGATAGTACACCACAGGGTTGGGTAAGGCGGGACGAAAAAAACCGAGGCACTTTCTCTGGGAAAAAAATTTGACATTACTAACGATTACTAACCGAAAATACTACATAATTACGTCACTAAATCGCACACAAAATCATACGATAAATCAACAATGTACGATTGAAATACCCGTGATCGATTCAAGACAAAAAAAAAATGTTGCTTCGTATCGGGCAGTTAATATACATGTGATCTATTAGCATGATATTTTAGCACAGCTAAAAAAATTTGTTTACCTTAAAACACTACTAACGATTACTAACCGAAAATACTACATAATTACGTCATTAAATCGCATACAAAATCATACGATAAATCAACAATGCATCGTACGATTAATATACCCCCGTGATCGATTCAAGACAAAATGCTGCTCCGATATTTTCGTATCGGGCAGCTAATATACATGTGATCTATTAGCATGACTGCTAAAAAAAATTCATATGATAAATGACACTTCCCTTATTGTTAAACAAGGATTGTGTATTTTTGAAATCAGTTAAATTTATTTGTCGAGTCTAGATTGCTTGCACTGGCTTCGGACATCTAACAGCACCTATATTTCCTTATTTTTTTATTTTATAATGGTATATAGTACACTTGTTAAAATTTTTATACGTATTAATTAATATCATAGTAGAAGCTAAAATTGGTTAATTGAATAAGAGTGCCGTCAGCCAAAGGAAAACCTGTCATCAGGCTTTTATCATGATTTACCAATTCCTTTTATGATTAAGAAAGAAAGATTGGCTATAGCGAATCTGCAAATGCCCATGGGCGCGAAAGTTCAGGCATCTTTGGACCAGGCACCTTGTGCCTAGTAATCTTGAATGGGTCATTAGCTTTATAATACAAAGTACCTAACATGTTCCCTGGAATTTTGTGTTCGCGTTTACAAAGCGCCCAACAACTATGCCAAAATAGCAGAGCCCTCAAATTTTTCTAGTATTTAAAATGGCACAAGTAATAACACAAAAACAATAAAACAATAAAACTAAATTCAGTAAAATTATTCTATAAACATATAGAATTAAAATAAATCAGTTTTTGGATTTAGTTATGTGATTGTCGCAAGTTGTCGTAATATCACTGCTATTTTAAAAAAATCCGAGGATAGTTTGTATCTGCGCCCATGTCCATGCCCGTGCTCGGGCTTGCAAATCCCTAGTGATCATCATATCTAATCTAAAAATAGGAGCGGGCATAAAAACAAAATCTGATCTATGACGTCACCATTAAGTCCTCGCTACGCTTCAGACAATTGTTAAATTTATACGTTTAATACGTATACAGTTAACATATGCTAAATATGTACGTAATATACGTATATTCGTACATTTCTCCAAGGCCGATATTGCATTAAAAAGGTTTAACAAAATTTAAGCATTATTATCTATAAATGTATATTCTCCTTAACGCAAGTTTTTTATACGTATACTTTTTTTTTTTTTACTGTATTTATTTATTTACTTGTTTATTTATTTACTGTATGATTCTAACGAAATGAGGATAAAGATATAAAAAAAAAATGTTTATCATGAATGATGGCGCGATTCTGATCATGGTTGAACCAACACATGTGATTGGGAAAATTTCGCCATCTCCACGATAAATAAACAAATAACCCTTGTTTTTAATATGATATATAGTAAAATGTTAATCATGTAATTCTACTAACCTTAATATTTTCTAATTCAAAAAAATTTGATTAATTTTTTTTCACACATCTTTGTAAATTTTATACATTTTTGTATTAAGATTTTTTCATTTCTAGTTTTTGTACTACTAATACTAAAGTAAATCTTTCGGCTTTTGCCGTGGAGTAGGATTAGTAAAAAATTACGCAATAACGCAATACATAAAATATATACATGTATATGTATACACTTACGTAGTTAGGTAAAATATACATATTTATCGGTAAAATTATGAATATGTTATGTATATACTTACATAGTTAGGCTATATTATTATTAAGAGTATATGTACATAAAATACGTGTGTATGTATATACTTAAGTAGTTACAGTAGATAAAAATCTTAATTATTTACATATATACTTAAGTAGTTACAGTAGATAAAAATCTTAATTATTTACATATTTTATCTTAACATATATTTAAATAGTTAGGTTATTTACTTATCATATACTTAAGTAGTTAGGTAAAAAAAAGATTGTTTACATATTTTTTATCGTCATTATGCATTAAACAAAACATGCATAAATAAAATCCACAGATCGATTTTTTTTTAAAAAATGTAAATCATGTGCGGGATTTTAGGTAACAAATTTTTAGGTGGCGATTTTTGGATAATTATTATAAATTTACGTTTTTAGGTAAAAACCCCTTAAACTTTTAATAATTAACTTACGTTTTTTAGGTAAAATAATGTTATATGAATGAGTACTTATCTGTTATACGTAGAGTGAAAGTTCACATGAATTACATGAATTACACTTTTTTAGTGAGTCGATTATACCTAATATGATATAGAAAATGAACGGATATTATGAATATTATGATATAGCATAAAGTACAGGCAAGATTTTTTCCAACATCCTTTAGGTATATCATTGATAAACGGCACATATAGAAACATATAGAAAAAGCGATCACGAGAACAATAATATTGTAATACTAAGATCGGAAGAAATATAATGAAATATAGTTAGGTGACACCTTTTTATATTCCTAAAGGATGAGGATCGACATTTCATGTAATTTAATGTAATTTTTAGGATCAACACAATTTAGAACAATTTATAACAATTTATAACAATTTATAACAATATATACGTACAACGTATAAACTATACGTAATACAATATATATACAATATAAGTTGATTTCATTAACGGTGTTCTCGTGCAGGACACAAGGTATTCCTTTTTCCAAATTGAAAACTTTAATGTTATAATAGGTAAAATAAATAAATGGAACATCATCTGCAAGATAAAATTTTTAATTCTTTTAAGGTACACAGATTTTTGTACAATATGAAATCTTTTTTTCACTTACACAAAGAAAAGAGTCCAGATTGATTGTTAGTTCTAGACGTTTTTAATTTCTTTTTTCTTTGTTAGATCAACTATTTTAAATAATTTTTGTGAAACAAAAATAATGAAAATTATAATGGTAAAGAAAAGAAACATGGTTTCACAAATTTCATCATGTTTACCTCATGATGAGTATCCGGAGTGATTTCCTATCACTAATATCTAACTAATATCACCAATAGGGGAAACTCCGAATTATGCAGTTATACAGTTATACGTACGACGTACGAAAAGTGGGAAATATCAAAGACTCAAGATAATTTACTAAAAAATTGTTTTGTAGAGATTAGAAATTAAAATTTTTTTATTATTAAATTTTTTTTTTTTTTTTTTTTTTTTTTTTTTTTTTTTAACAATCTATTATAATAATAATTACAATAATTACAAAGTTTTTTTTTAAAATTTAATACATACAATAAAAGGATTTATTTTTTTTAATAAACATCTAACGAATAATTAATATTTAAACATTTTTCATTCAGCGAACCCATCATATTTTGAGCCATTTTTACAATTTGATTTTTTCTTGCAATAACAACTTCCGAATCACCACTACTTATTTGGTCCAATTGTTCTAAAATTTTGAGAATAGGATCTTTGAGGGAATTTATATCATTATTATTAGTGGACTTGAGAGATATGAGATGATTCTCAAACGTTCGAAGTTTGCAGAGTTTTGAAAGGATTCGTTGAGTTTTTAGTCTTGTAATATGATATTTAATAAACTTCACAATCTTATACCCAGATTTTATTCTTTCAACTAAATCACGAGCACTCCTTGAATCATTTTTTTTAGGGGTCGATCTTATTTGTAGTGATGGTTCAGAATTTTCAGGTAAATTTTTAGAAAAAGAAGGAGCCTTTGAAGATTGTTGATTTCTAGTACAATTCATTAATCCAAATTCTCTGGCTTTATTTTCGTAAAATTTTTTCAAAGCATCGTTATTTTGACTTTGTTTTAAAGAAGATTGTCGATTGGTCCTTTCTCTTAATGATTTTTCATGTTCAGCACAAAGTTTATAACGACGTTCCTGTTCTTGCTTTAGTCTTATTCGTTCAAAGTCTCGTTCGCTCGTAGTTTTCTTTGAGGATAAATTTGGAACGAAGCCAGAACCATTTGTTGCACCAAGGTGGGGATCAGTATTAAGAACGTTACCGGTTATAAATCGATTTTGTGAATGTGAATGATGATGATTCGTTTTCGATGAGTGATGTTTTTTAGGTTTAAGGTCAATATGATGAGAACTAATATCTGCTGCTGCTGCTGCTGCTTCTGATGAATAACAAGAAAACATTCTAACTTTTTAACTATTAACAATTCGCTATAATGCTATTTTTTTTTTTTTTTTGTGCACACTATATATAATGATTTATGATAATGTAAATGATATTTGAAAATGTCAAAAAAAAAAAAAAAAAAATCTTGTAGGTGAATAATAAAAAAATTAGCAGGTTTTTATACGTGTGGCAGTATAATATAAAAAAAAAAAAAAAAATACTACGTAAAATAAATAAACACAAAAACCAAATTAAGAAACTTGCATATATACTAGCCATATAATTTTTATTATCTTTTAATCTAGTACAAGTGTAATTCTATCTTTATGATGTCATTGTGCATTTGATTATATCAGTACTACATGTGAGTTGATTATATTATATTTATATTATATTTATATTATACATCAACTTTATGCAAGACCATTTTTGTGACGCTATGGCACAGGACTTAGTTTCCCTATTAATAATCGAATGATTTTTTGGTGTAACTTTGACGAATTAGTAATATTATATATTTCTGTATTTTACACTATATACTATATAAATAATACTGTACTACTGTATATACTGTACTATATATACGTATCAGATATCAGTTATCAGATATAGTGATTTCAGAAAAAAAAAATTCGAAAATTTGAAATAATGATACACTACGTAACTAACTAACTAACTGTAGCACTGTATATTTTTTTATTAATAATAGATATAAGAAAAAGTTCCAGATGAAATAGATGAAATGCTATAACAAAAAGTTTCTATATATTATATAAAATAAAACAAGACAGATTTTGACAGGAGGACCCTGTAATTTTGTTTATGTCGGGGAGTCCTTGTATACTGTAAATAAAGATTGATTTTCAAATTCGCTCCCAATTTCGAACTTTTCCAATCATATGCTTCAAATTTTCGAATTTTGCTTCTTTGTGTCTGAGAATGTTTTTTTTTTTTTTTTTTCTAAATCCATTGTTTACTGGTTTTAAATTTCATTATTAAAATTGTTCTATATAGGTAATTTATAAATTTTAACATAACAAATTTTAATATATATATTGTTTCAGATTTTCATTGATTTATTTATTTTTTTTTTAATAATAAAATTGAATTTAGGAGTCAATCCAAGCACTGTTTGACTTATTTGAAACATTTTTCATTTACGTTCATCATCTACGCAAGTTCCCTTGACATATATAATAATAGCCTAAGTTTCGATTATATTTAAACCGCTCTATAATTAGCGTTAGTAAATATAGATTACTATATACTGTACTGTAGTTTCTGTGACATTGCATCACGTATGATTTTTTTTAACTGTATGCATCTCACGTTAACATATGGTATCATAGCTACCCTTACATCTGTAGACTACATCTGTAGACTACATCTGTAGACTATATCTGTAGACTATATCTGTAGACTATATCTGTAGACTATATCTGTAGACTACATCTGTAGACTACATCTGTAGACTGTAGACTTTTGTAGATTAAAATTAGTAAACTCTTTTCTATTCGATTTTTTTATTATTGTATTATTGTACTGTTTTCGTTTTCTTATTCTTCTTTAGTCTTCAAAATGAATAATCCAAATTCATAAAATTTTTTCCTAATATAATTAATGATTTTCGATTGAAATTTTGATCAATTATTTGAACTCTATTTGTATTACTTTTTACCGCATATTTTTTCTTATTGCCTATTTTTGTATACTTATTTCGTCATCTGCACCTTATATAGTCATCTGCACTTATATAGTTATTTAGTAATACTTAGCCTTTATTTATCAATATCCGCATTGACAAAGACAGTACAGTGACAGTACATACCGATACGTACGTATATACGTATATACGTATATACGTAACATACTCCCTGGTACAGTACATAAATACGAATCTGGTATGCATCGTTAAACATACGTATTTTTATACATATATAGCTGATGATATCCATATTAGACGTGGCTTTGACATAACAACGCGTGTAAAGTTATGACGCGTAAGTAATAAATGTAGTAAAATGGGCAGTGCAAAATGGAAAAAGATATTATCCGTAAGATTAAATTTAAAGCAATGGCGTACTGTAATTAATAGTTATTCTACTGTATTTACCGTATTTTTTACTGATTTTACTTTATTGGTGTCCTGAACGGAACGGAATATATTAAAAAGATTTTGTATTTGATAGAAAAATGTGCGAATGTACTTTTTTTTTCAGTCTGAATTTAATTAGTCATAAACTTTTTTGATTACTAAATTTAAATCAAGATTATGCAGATAATAAATTGTTATGCGTATGTTATTTTGTTCTTTATGAATTTTATCGACAAAAAGTTTTATCTAATAAACAAAAAGTTTTATTTATTAACGGAAAACCCGTTATTACAAATTTACTGCTCTTGAACTTAAAATCGGAAAATGTCAACAACAATCTAATCTATCACACGGTAACCAAATTACGTAATCACAATTAGTTTTAAAAGTTCGATGTAGTATGTAGTGCAGTAGTGAAATTTTTAATTAGTACTTTTAGGTTTTCTTTGTCAACGCCATGTATTATATGTATTATAACCGCATTCAAACTTATGTCTAAATGTTAAAATGTTAAAATTTGCGTAAATTTAACCAAAAACATTCATTTCATTCATCTCATGCATGCAATAAAAATTTTACATTATCCAATAGATCAACTATATAACTAATTGAGTTCGAGAATTTTGTTCTATTATTTAATAGGAAATTTGCCAAGATTTAAAATAATTCGAAGACCTATTAACTCAAATCATTTACAAGAATTTCATACACTATAATTATTAGTAAATATATAATTTTAAATATGCTTTTTAACTATGCAATAAATTTAATCCGACTTTAAATTATTAATTCTTAATAAAATTCTAACGACTGTATAACCGATAATAAATTTCTTATCAATACATTATACTGTACTAGGTACGTACGATCAAAGTTTGGATTTTCATGAATAAACCGGGGTTTACCTTATAATCACTATACTTTAATTAAGATTTCACAACCCTTTTTTGGAAACTTTGTTTTTTAACCAATTAAGGTAATTGATTAATAGGTTGTTAAACTCCATCAATTACATCATACATAACCAAGAATGATACAGGATAGTCCGTAAATCTCCGGTCATATGAGAGCTTTCTGAACCCTGTATTACAGGAAACATGGAGTTTATGTGATTTGTAATTACCGAATTATACGCAAAATATTCGGTACGTATGAACGTTTATTAAGCAATCTTTCAAAGAATATATTCAACTAAAAACAAAACCTAACCCATTTTCAACTTATTCATGCATACTCCAAATAATTCGCATTGAATAAAAAGCCTTGTTTATTTATAGTTGGGCAATTACTTATTTGTGCCTTTTTTTTTTTTTTTTAATTTTTTAAATGAAGTATCTGTTATTTTTTTTAAAAGAATATACAGTATTAAAGACATTATTTGATTTATTATATTTATTATACATTTTCATATTACTACGCACTAAAAATGTAAAATGATACATACTATGAATATATTAAATAAAACTTATCCGCATGATTTTGACGTAGTAAAAATTATGTGATTCGATGCGATTTGGTTTAATCACATTAAAATAATCGTGTCTTTTTCCTTTACAGTTATATAGTTTCTAAAATAAATAGCACATATCGATATCGATATCATCAAACTAAAATTCGATGAATTTTTTTACTCTATAATATCACATTTTAGATGTTAGACGCACCCCTTAAAAATTACTTCACTGAGTTAAATTAAAATGCATATATTTATTAAGAAAATCACACCCTGTTATAATTTTTAAAAATAACCTTTTTTTTTAATATACAGTATATATTAGGGATAGATAAACATTAGCACTAGTAGTCAGTTAATTGATAATTCGCGAATGAATGAGAATGAAATTGGGAATAAATTAATTGTAAAGATTACTAAGTGTCAAAATATAGATTCCTCGTGATTTATAATAAAAAGTCAAATTTTGTGACTAGTCTTTGAATACATATAAAAAAAAATTTTTTTTTTTTAAATAAAACATAATACTGTAATTGTTTTTCTGTTAAAAAGTTAGAAATAATTCATATATCCATTTTAGTATAAATTTTATTTATTGTTGTTTTAATAAATGATCCTTACTAGATCAGAAACGTATATTTGAGATTGTAATAAATTTATATATAAATTTTATATAGTGAATTCTCAGACATTCGTGGATGATTATTAATTAAGTTTTAACAACCGGTTAAATTTTTGAGAAATAGTAAAATTGGATGAAAATGAAGTAATTTGAATCAAAGATTTTTAGATTTATTGATTATTTTTATTGATTATTTTTATTGATTATTTTTATTGATTATTTTTATTGATTATTTTTCATTCAGTGCGCAAAATTGTGAGGTAACTGGTCTTTTTTATCGTCATTATTAGTTAATTTTAAAAACTCTGTCAATGAAATTTTGTAAATGAACGAAAAAAAAATCATTCGGAATTTTTGTCTTAATCGAACGGAAATTCCGGTATTTTATATCGTTATCATTTTTTACAATCAATCAGTTGATCAAAATACTATCGCTATCACTATGAATATTAATGAAATAATAATGATATAATAAATTTAATTAACTTTACTGTATCATCGCGAAATAATACCCAGAGACGTAGGGATACGTGGTTTGAAAAAGAACCAATAATTAATTTAGAGAAGGCGTTTAATACTGTAATAATATACAGGAAATAATATACAGGAAATTATGATTCGGATTCGGCTAAATTAATTTGTGATTTCAATTTTGGGCATACAGTATCGACTGTCATTTTTATGCGGTATAAATTCTGAATAAAATTTAAATAGAAATTGTACTAAAATATTTTCTATGATATGTATAGGAGTATGATTTGCAAAAAAAGAAATTTCATTAAAAAATAAAAATTATTGTCGCGGCTGAAAATGGCTGAAGCTGGAAATTAGGGACAGGGACCTTGATTTAAAAATATAAACCCTACGAAAATCCACTTATACTCTTTTATTATTAAAACTACCCCTAATCTAACCTTAAAAAAAAAAAAAAAAAAAAAAATCTAACAAAATGCCCGAAAATTTTTTTTCATTTCCAGCTTCAGCCGCGACAATTATTTATTTATAACCTTCTCTCAACTTAATACTAAAAAAGAGCTACTCTAATCGTAGTCTTTAAGGAGAGAATTCTTTGAATGGTTAAACTAAATAGGCTAAAGTAATACAGTACGGAAACGCGAACATGTGAATAAAAAAAAAAAAAAACTTTGCTATTTTTCCTATAACCTGTCTTTATCCGACATTTCATATGATC